AAAGTGCCTAGCCACTTATTTGTGTTTTCTTTAAGACTGTTAAATTTATTCCAGCAACTGCTCAGCCTGGGAGGGATTTCCAGGGTGTGATTTATTTCACCAAGGGGCATGGGAACTGGGTGGAGATGCACKGAAACATTTTTGGAATTGCTGAGAGTCCTGTGATAAAATTAATGTACACACACTATAGTATAGTCACCCGGAGAAAATCCTCACCCAGAGAAAATCCTACCTTATTGAAAGCTACTCAAGTGGAATTTTGAGTTGGTGTCCTAATGTCATCAATTGATTTTTCTTTTTTCTTTTTTTCCCTCCCCCACCCCATGCTGGGGAATGAAATGGAACCTGAGATTCCTTGCATGCTACGCAAGTGCTCTACCCCTGAGCTACACCTCTTTCTATTTTTAAAAAAACATGTTTACTAGAATATCAAAAATTATTTCTCATGCTATTTTTCTGCTGGATTATGGTACTTCAGATCCTTTTTGATCTGGTGGAAATTGTTCATAAAAATAATTTCTTAAGGGGCTGAGGTTGTGGCTCAGCGGTAGAGTGCTAGCTTAGCACGTGAGAGGCCCTGGGTTCGATCCTCAGCATCACATGAAAATAAAAGGTAGTGTGGCCAACTACAACTAAAAAATTAAATATTGAAAAAAATAATAATTTCACAAATAGACTATTTCTTCAAGTTACTATATGCATTTGAAGAATCAGAATGAGAGCCAGGAAGCCAAGRTCTGCGATGACAGGGACTGAACGCCACAAGGGCAGCAGTGGAAAGAAGAATGATAACAACAAAACCAGTAACAAGCCAGTGGTGCACTGCCTGTAATCCCAGTGGTTCTGGAGGCTGAGGCAGGAGAACCACAAGTTCAAAGCCAGCCTCAGCAACAGTGAAGTGCTAAGCAACTCAGTGAGACCCTGTCTCTAAATAAAATACAAAATAGGGCTGGGGATGTGGCTCAGTGGTCGGGTACACCTGAATTCTATCCCTGGTACCTCCCTCCCMAAAAAAAGCCAGCTTCAGCAACTTAGCGAGGTCCTAAGTAACTCCATGAGCTCCTTCCTGTCTCTAAATAAAATATAAAAAAGGGCTGAAGATGTAGYTCAGTGATAAGGCATCCCTGGATTCAATCCCTGGTACCAAAAACCCCAAACAGTAACTATTCCCAAAGTGCTTGCTGGGGTCCAGGTACTGTCCTAAGCTTTTGACGTTAATTGTTTCATCCTTCTTCCAATGCCTAGGAGGTGGTACTACCCCATTTGGCAGACACTGAAGCAAAGTCCCTTCTCCAAACCATCTGACTGCATCAACTGCCTGGGCAATCATGACTAATTGTCATTTTACTGCTTTAGGGGTGCAAGGACAACTGAGGTGTAGAGGTTGGGAGTGCTGATCTGGCCTCCTGGAGGCTAGAAGCACAGGAGGAAAAGCTTGTGGGGACAAAATTCAATACAGTTAGGGTCCCACCAATGCCAGGGATCCTGGAAGACCCCTCAGGGAGGAACACAGTGGTGACTGGACTGTGTGCTAGAGACAGCGGTCCAGGTGATGTTACCGGTGTCCTCATGGGGAGGGAGAGTAAAGGGCCAGGGGTGCAGGCYCCTCCCTTAGCAGAGGAACCAGCTGAGGCCTCAGTGGGGTTGGGGGTGAGTCGCCAGATCAAAAGTCATCTTTGGAGGTCATCTGTGGCCTCCAAAGCCCATCTCTCCTGCCAAATGCCAATGTCTCGGCTTGGCACAGAATCACGAGGCACCACACAGCTTTGTAGGTTCAAACAGCAATTCTGTATTCCGGATCTCACACCAGCCTCCACACACGTTCAGGGGCAATTCTCACAATACACGTCCTAAATACTTTTTCTCCAGGAGGACTCAGCGGGAACTCAGGCAGCAGGCACGCCCTACTCCCAGCAGGAATAATCTTCAACCTCCAACTTCCCTAAAACTCCTATTGTCACGCCCTAAACCCAAGGACGGGGATACTTCCTGCAGGAATACACCCTAATCCTGGATCCACCCTGGTGATTGAGCAGGGTCACCTTTCTCAAACACACAAGCAAGGTSGCAGCAAATTTCCAAGGCAAGTCCATTTAACATGGGGTCCACTGGCAAGGATTACGATGCGTCATTCCTACTTGGTAATGGCTCTCAGCACTCTCCCTTGTGAGGCAATAAGAACCCCTGCCTGGGTATCAGCTGGGAGGACCCCTAGCCCCCTCTCAGCAACCCATGGGCTCTGCAACCCAGCCTTGACCAGCTGGTCTCTAGCTCTTCACCCTATTGCTGTCCCTCCACTCCATTCTGCTTTCTCCTTTGGCCCCTGTACCTCCTTTTCCTTCCCTTTCCCTGTGGTCTTCATCACCCTCGCTTCCTCCTYCTCCTCCTCTTCCTCCTCCTTCTCCCCTTCTTTCTCTCTCCCTCTCCCCGCTCTTCCCCAGTGCTGAGGATTGAACGCAGGGCCTCCCACATACCAGATAAGCACTGTCTGTACTGCTGAGCTACACCTCTATCTCTCTTTATTTTGAGATGGGGTCTGGTCTTGCTAAGTTCCCCTGACTGGCCTTGAACTCAGGATCCTCCTGCTGGGGCACTAAGTTGCTGGGACTGACCTGCACCATCTCACCCGGTTCAGTTTAAATATTTGTGATGGCAGCGCAAGTTGATTAAGACAGTGGGATTGTAATAACTGCTCTGGAAAAAAAAATAAAACTGGGAACAGGGAGGGAGGCTGGGGTGTGGGTGGAGCAGAACTTTGAGAGTCACCCATGGGGGGGTGACATTAGAATCATTGTGTGTGTGTGTGTGTGTGTGTGTGTGTGTGTGTGTGTTCCTGGGGGTGGAACCCAGGGCATTGCTGACTCTACCACTGAAGTACATTCTCAGTCCCTGGAGGTGATATTTGATTAAAGACCAGAAGGAAGTGAAGAAGAGTCATGCTGACAAGAGTGGCCCAGGCAGAGGGAAGGCAAGTCCCTGAGGTGGGACTGTACCTGTCTAGTTTGAGAAAAGAGACAGGTATGAGTGAGTGGAGAGGAGGATAAGAGGAGGGAAAGTCGGGAAGATGGCTGTGCTCTTCACAGTCCACATCCTTACCCAAGTCCTCATCTGGGTTCCTAAGGCAGAACGCTCCAACTGGCCGCTAGAGGCCACCCTCTCTGTGGTTCACAGAGTCACCTCATCTCATGCTGTTGGCTCTTGCTGAGCCCTAACTGTCCCTCAAATGCCATGCTAAGCACTTTACAAGGATAACTCAGCTCATCCTCCAACATCTTTATGAGTTAGAGGCTTTTAAAATTTTTACAGCTTTATTGAGGCATAATTCATGTATCATAGACCACACACATTTTTGTGTATAATCTGATGAGGTCTCACACTGGGGAAACCACCACCACAGTCCAGGTATTGTACATGCCCAGGCCTTCAAAAAAGATTCCCTAGGCCTTTTAAAATTCCTCCCTCTCCCTCCTCCCTATTCCCATCCCCCGGCAACCAATGATCTGTCTTCAGGAACTACAATGAGTTGCATTTTCTCCAGTTTATATTAAATAGAACTATAGTGTATGTATTTTTTTTGGGGGGGGGGCGGGGGTACTGGATTTTTTTCCCWGGCATTACTCATATGAAGGTTCGTTTTGGTGGCAAGTTGATACCGCCTGTCCTTCCATCAGGGCCCTGTTCTGTTTCCCCARATGTGAAGATTGAACACCCAACAAACGCYGATGCAAGCACAGAAAGCAAGTTTTATTTAAAGGATAGAGCAGAGAGAGACTTCTCCGCAGAGAGAGAAGGGGCCCCAGAGCTGGGTACCCGAGGAAGTAGGGTATCCTGCCCCTTTCATACATTTTAGAATTTCTTTGTTCTCATGGCCTCCCCCCTCTATCCTAGGTGACTTTTGACCAAAGTGACTCCTGATCCAAAGGTGGCCAAAGGTGGAGTGATCCAAGAAGGGGAATGAAGCTATCCTGGGGTCCAGGCTGGAAGGGAGCATTCAATAACAGCCCCTGTAGGAGAAACAATTCTCTGGAGGCAGGTCACCTTGACAACCAGGKTAAGGGCTCTGGAGGTATTAGCATTTGATTTCCTTTCGTTTGCCTCCTCCCTCTGAGTGTYGGTCAGGGCTAGCGGGTTTCCCTAGCACTAGCACATGATAGTTCATGAGTTCTGTCCTCAGCATTAAAAAAAATAAATAAAGAAAAGATGATTGATTTGTGTTTTTGCAGGTATGCATTGGAGCCCAGAACCCATTATGCACATTAAGAAGCAGTGGGCACGGTGGCCCGTGCCTATAATTCCAGCGGCTGGAGAGGCTGAGGCGGGAGGCTGAGGCAGGAGGATCCAGAGTTCAAAGACAGCCTCAGCAAATTACAGAGGCCCCAAGCAACTCGGTGAGACCCTGTCTCTAAATAAAATACAAAAAAGGGCTGGGGATGTGGCTCAGTGGCTAAGTGCCCCTGGGTTCAATCCCGTACCCCCCCCCCAAAAAAAAAAAAAAAGGAAAGAAAGAAACAAACGGGGTATAGGCTTCGGCTTGCCGGGCGGGGCACRAGGTGGGGGGTAACACCCAGATTTGGGTTGAACAGCCCGCCTCGGGGGCGTTCACGCCCTCGACATTCGTTCATGTGGATCCATGTATTCGAATTCTATTTTGCACTAGAGGAAACTGAGGCACAGAGAGGAACGCCTGTTCCGAGGGTCGCACGCGGAAGACCCGCCCCCGGGCTGAGGCGGTCCTGGCCGGAGCCGCGGTGGGCGCTCCGCGGGTAGGAGAAGCGCCCGCAGGTGCGTCCTCTCGCCGAGGTCCCGCCCCCGGGGCTCTGGGGGGCGGTCCTGGGGGCGTGTTCGGGGAGGGGCTTCTCGGCTCTGGGGCTTCTGATAAGGGCCCGCAGGGGCTCGCGCGCGCCTGGGCGGTGCGATAAGGAGGGCGTGGGGGTGGCGCGGGGAGGATCTGGGTCTTCGAGTCCTTGCGGGGCGGCCTGGACGGGGGACCCACGGGGGTCAGGGCGGGGWGGGGCGAGCGGCCGGGTTACGCCCGCCTCCATCCGGGGGCCTGAGCCGCTAAAATGGCGATGGCCGTATCGATGGCGGCAGCTCGCGCCGCTCCCGGGAGCCCGGGGCTAGGGGCCGAGTAGTCCCTTCCCCGGAGCCCGCGTCCTGGCCGCGGGGCGTCCTGGGGCGCGGCGGCCGCAGCCCCCACCCGGATCCTCGGTCAGCCCTCCTGGCGCGTCCATGAACTCGGTGTCGCCGGCCGCCGCGCAGTACCGGAGCGGGAGCCCGGAGGACGCGCGCCGGCGCGAGGGCCGCAGGCCGAGGGTTCCTCGAGTCCCGGACCCCAACGGCCTGGGGCCCTCCGGAGCCAGCGGTCCCACTCTTGGCTCTCCCGGAGCTGCCCCAGTTGAGCCGGACGAAGTGGACAAGTTCAAGGCCAAGTTTCTGACTGCCTGGAACAACGTCAAATATGGTGAGGAGGGGGCTTAGAGGTCAGGGTTGGAGGGACTCAAGGAAAACCAAATCCCGTTCCTGCCGATTATTCCACCATTTGTTCCCATTCTGTGAGTCACCTGTGGGTCTCCACCCTGCGGAACCCAAGGTGGACCCAGGGCAGGTTCTACAGGGAATGTTTCAAGCCCCGCCCATTCCTTCCTTTGACCTTGGGCAAGCTTTTTTGCTTCCCTAAGCTTCCATTCCCCCTTCGGTAAAATGGGTACAATAATCAGAACTGCTATAATTCAGACTGAGTTGTTGGTGGACACACATGCGGCTGTTACCAGGGGCCCCACCTCCTCAGGAATGTGTTACAYGTATATTCCAGAAGCATCCCTAAATAAGGATCCAAAGTCATGTCCATTTCACAGATAGGTGAATGGAAGCCCCTATTGCTGACAGTCAAGTGCTTCATTTCTCTGGCTACCTCATGTCTCCTCAGGTTGGGCGGTTAAAAGCCGGACCAGCTTTAGCAAGATCTCCAGCATTCACCTCTGTGGCCGCCGCTACCGTTTTGAGGGTGAAGGTGAGCATGAGGCTGGGACCAGGGTTGGGGTAGGCTTCCAGAGGTGTCCCTGATGGCATCTGACAGGTCTGCTTTTGTAGGTGACATCCAACGTTTCCAGCGAGACTTTGTGTCACGCCTGTGGCTCACTTACCGAAGGGACTTTCCACCCCTGGCGGGGGGCTGCCTGACCTCCGATTGTGGCTGGGGATGCATGTTGCGCAGTGGCCAGATGATGCTGGCCCAGGGCCTGCTACTGCATTTCCTCCCCAGAGGTGAGCCTGCAGAGGARGGGGTATACTAGGAGTATAATGCCAACCATGTGTCAGCAGTGTTAAAACTGTTTGCAAAGTGTTTAAAGCCATGTTAGAATGGTGTGTTACATGATTAGTTTTAGGGAGTGTGAGAGTTGTTTGGAAAATAAGAGTTTCAGAAGGGAAATGGTGCGTGCTTGAAGTCTGAACTACTTGGAAGGCTGGAGTAGGAGGATGGAAAGTTTTGGGAAACTTAACAACACCCTGTCTCAAGGTAAAATTTAAAAAAGGACTAGGGTGTGGCTCAGTGGTAGGATGCTTACRTAGCATGTGTGAGGCCCTGGGTTCCATCTCCAGTATCACCAGAAAAACAGAAAGAAAAAAAATGGAGTTCCAGGCATGTGAAAATTATAGTTAAATTTATGGTTCTCAGAAGTATCAGAATTGTGTGTAAAATATGAATAAATGGGAACTGTGTCCCTCCATACACACACTAGCACTATTTGACTATGTACTCCATCCCCACCAGACTGGAGATGGGCCGAGGGCACAGGCTTGCTTCCCCCTGAGCTGTCAGGGGTGACCTCTCCCAGCCGGTACCGTGGGCCTGCCCGCTGGATGTCCCCACACTGGGCTCAGGGCACCCCTGAGCTGGAACAGGAACGTCGGCACCGGCAGATTGTGTCCTGGTTTGCTGACCACCCCCAGGCCCCTTTTGGTCTACATCGGCTGGTGGAGCTGGGACAGAGCTCAGGCAAGAAGGCGGGTGACTGGTATGGGCCATCGCTGGTGGCACACATCCTCAGGTGAGGACAGCTGCAGGGAATATGGGAGCTGCTATGTATCCCCAGGAACTCAGGCCTTCCCTTCTACCCCTAGGAAAGCTGTGGAGAGCTGCTCAGAGGTCACCCGCCTGGTAGTGTATGTTTCTCAGGACTGCACAGGTAAGGGGCTAGGAGCCAGTCATTGCCTTAACTGCCCCTTAGGACTCACCTTTTTCAGAGRCTGAAAAAAGTTCTAGGGCACAGGAACACTTGGGAAGGATTCTCTAGACCCATGGCTTAGAAGGTATACAGGGTCCCTTTCTTCTGCCTCTTTCTAGAACCAGGAGAGGAAACTTCAGGGGCTTCACCTTGATGGAAACATAAGGTTCTCCCTCTCCCCTGTCCCATTCACTCTTGCTGTTCTAACGATTATAACATTTGGAGGTCTGTCTGGTCTCCTCTGCCACAGAGAGTTGTCATGAGGATTCAGTGAATCAATAATACAAGCAATAATACAATAATACAAGCACTTAGAGCAGTCTTTTCACGAGCCAATATTCACTAAGTAGTAGTTATTATTATAAWATCCCACTACCCTCCAAATCAGTTTAAAAAAAGGGTCTTGACAGGAGCACTGTAGTTTTCTGTCAGGGAATCTGCATAACCTATAAGTTTTCAAGCAGAATTGAAGGTGTTTGGGACAAGATTTGATTTTTAGAGAAAGGGTTGAGTCTACTTGCTGGGAGCCAGGAAAGAGGCCTCATGGCCTCATGGAAGGAGATGGGGGTTGGGGAAGAGTAAAGAGTGGACTTGTGGGAAGAGGGACACACAGGGACAAAGTGCCTGGTGCTCCCATTTCTATACAGGCAAAACACGGTGCTGTGTCAGTGGGGGCCAGTCCAACTTGGGCCACTAGAGGGGCATTTGACCTAGAAGGAGAGGCTGCTGCTTTCTGTTTTATGCTCTTGGTCTCCGTGTCTTAGTCGCCCTCTCTGTTAAATGGGGATATCCACATGTGCCTGGAGGTCCCAGGATTGTCTTGGCAGTTTTGGAGGGCACTAGAAATTTTTGGCTGACAATGATGTTATTGCTCACCAGGAGCTTGTACAGATAAGGTTGGGCCCCTGGGGTTTGAGGGCCATCCTCCAGGGCTTGAAGGGTAGGTAGGAAGGTGACCTACTGCTGCCCTGTCATCCCCCCAGTTTATAAGGCGGACGTGGCACGCCTGATGGCCAGGTCGGACCCTACAGCTGAGTGGAAGTCTGTGGTCATCCTGGTGCCTGTGCGACTGGGTGGTGAGACGCTCAACCCAGTGTACGTGCCCTGCGTAAAGGTAGGTTTGCACAGATTCTGGCATCTCCACCTGGGAGCCCTCCAACCTTTTTAGCTTGGGTTCGGATCGCAGTTTGTGTCTCCTTCATCCCTTCATCCTTTCTTTCAGTAGTCATGGAGCACCTATGTGCCACTTGCTGTCCTGGGTGTTGAGATCCAGGGAGGAACAGAACAGGCAGAAATTCTGAATGTGCCCAGTGGGAGGGGTATGATCTGTGATTAAATTGGCATTAGAGGGTGGGGATGTAGTTCAGTGGGAGAGCATATGTTTATTAGCACACCAAAAAGGAAAAAAAAAATAATTAAAAAAAAGGCATTGTTGGGGCCAGGGTTGTAACTAAGCGATAGAGTGCTTGCTGAGCATGCGTGTTCGACCCTGGCACCACATAAAAATAAATAAAAAATAAAGATAGTGTGTCCATATACAACTAAAAAAAAAAAAAAAAAGTTGGCATTGTGCCCTGGACTCTAAAGGGAAGGAAACTTCCCCAATACGGGTGCACGGGATGGCTGTGGAGCATGGGAAAGCCCCTGCCCAGCCCAGAAGCAAATGAGGAACCAGAGAAGTGGTCCAGGGAAAAGGAACAGCAACACAAAGGCCCAGGAGCTGGAAAAAAAACAGATGCATTTGCACTCAAAGAGTTCTCCCGTAGCCCACAAGGCGCTGAACCATTTGTTCCTGTCACCTCCATGAACTTCTCACCCAGACTCCTCTGTCACTCACTCTGCTTCAGTCACATGGGCCTCTGTACTGTTTTCACACCACCCTGCCTCTGCACCTTTGTAATTGTTCCCTTTGTACTGGGACAGCTTTCTTTCTAGCTGTGCCAATGCCTCCCTCTCTAATCCCCCAGGTCTTTGTTGAGACCTCACCTCTCAATGAGGCCTTTCCGACTTCCCTGTTTTGTTGGTACTGGGATTGAACTCAAGTGTACTCGACCGCTGAGCCACATCCCCAGCCCTATTTTGTATTTTATTTAGAGACAGGGTCTCACTGAGTTGCTTAGGACCTCACCTTTGCTGAGGCTGGCTTTGAACTCACGATCCTCCTGGCTCAGCCTCCCAAGCTGCTGGGATTACAGGCTTGTGCCACCATGTCCGGCTGACTTCCCTGTTTAAAATTGCAGAGTCTGAGAGCCAGGCATGGTGGCATGTGCCTCTTTAAGCCCAGTGGCCCAGGAGGATGAGGCAGGACGATTGCGAGTCCAAAGCCAGCCTTAGCAAAACTGAGGTGCTAAGCTACTAAGTGAAACCCTGTTTCTAAATAAAATACAAAATGGGGCTGGGAATGTGGCTTAGTGGTTGAGTGCCCCTGAGTTTAATTCCTGGTACGCCCCCAAATAAATAAATTAAAAGGGTTGGGGATGTGACTCAGTGGTTAAGTACTCCTGGGTTCAATACCTGGTACTTAAAAAAAATAAATTGAAATAAAATAAAATCACAAAGTCTGCCTTGCACAGTGGCACACACTTTTAATCTCTGTGACTTGGGCAGAGGCAAGAGGGTCACAAGTTCAAGTCTTGCTTGGGCAACTTCGACCCTGTTTCAAATTTAAAAAGGGCTTGGTATGTAGTTCAGTGGTATAGTGCCCCTGGATTTAATCCCAGTACTGTAAGTAAATAAGTGATAAATAAAATTGCAAAGTCTTGTGCTGGACTTGTAGCTCAGTGATAGAGCACTTGCCTAGTGTGTACAAGGCCCTGAGTTCATTCCCCAACAGTACAAAAAAAAAAGGTAAATAAAACTTCAAGCCACCTTTCCTCCTTTATCCTTTTCCATAATGTTATTACCTCTAATAAGTAGTTCATCTTCCTTGTTCATTTCCCACACTAGAATGTCAGCTCCATGAGGCAGGGGTGTGTTCATCTTAATCATTATTACTTCTCCAGGGCTTAGCACAGGACTGGGTTTACATACTGTAGGTGTCTGCTAAGTGTTTTGAATGACTGCCTCATGCCACCTGCCTCTGCTTCTGCCCCCTCTCTTCCCTGCAGGAACTACTGCGGTCAGAACTGTGCTTAGGCATCATGGGGGGCAAGCCACGACACTCACTGTACTTCATCGGCTACCAGGGTAGGCCTTGCCCCACTGTGCCCTTCCCCACCTCCTTGCCCTTCCCCTGCTCATGTCTGGCCCCCTGTAGATGACTTCCTGCTATACCTGGACCCCCACTACTGCCAGCCAACAGTGGATGTCAGCCAGGCTGATTTTCCCCTGGAGGTGAGCTGGCTTCCCCAGGGTGGGGTTGGGCTTATGGAGAGGCGGCTGGACTCCTGAACCTCCCTCATCTTTCTGCCCCAGTCTTTCCATTGTACCTCACCCCGCAAGATGGCCTTCGCCAAGATGGACCCTAGCTGTACCGTGGGGTTCTATGCTGGAGACAGGAAGGAGTTTGAGAAGCTCTGCTCGGAGCTGACCAGGGTGAGCAAGAAAGGTGGGAGGCAAGGGCAGGACTGGGGTTAAAAGAGGAGCAGAGACCCAAGTCCAGTAGACCTGGCAGTGCAGGCTGGGTGTTAATAGTCTAGAAAATGTAAAGAATGTCTCCCTTTAGGCCAGATGTGGTGATGCATGCCTGTAATCCCAGTGATTTGGGGAGATTGAGGCAGGAGGATCACAAATTTGGGGCCAGCTTTAGCAGACCCTAAGCAACTTCTGAACCCAGTCTCAAAAGAAAAATAGCTGAGGATGTAGCTCTGTGGTAAAGTGCCTGTGGTTGGCAGTGGCACACGGCTATAACCCCAGCTTTTCAGTGGGCAGAGGCAGGAGGATAAGAAGTTAGAGTAACATGGACAGATCAGCAAGACCCTGTCTCAAAGGGCTGAGGAGCTCCGCACAGTAACACACACCTGTAATCCCAGTGTCTTGGGAGACTTACGCAGGAGGATCACAAGTTCAAACCCAGCCTCAGCAATTTAGCCAGGCCCTGAGCAATAATAAAATATAGAAAAGCGCTGGGGATGTGGCTCAGTGGTTAAGCCCCTCTGGGTCAATCCCTAGTACTGAAAAAGAAAAAAGGGCTGGGGATGTAGTTCAATGGCAGAGTGCTTGCCTAGCATGTGCAAGGGCTAGACTTCTATCCCTAGAACTATTGGGAGGAAAAATTTGGCAAGGATTATGGTGTCCGCAAGATGGAAAAATCTCAGCTTTTGAGAGTAAAACGGGGGTGTGAATTAAAAGGCTTGGGGCGTTACTGCCTTGGGGGCAGCTGTATCAACTTCACCTGTTGTTTCTTGGTCTCTGTAGTACCCTTATTGTGGTATAATATGGCTACTAGTCCTTCCAGGTACCCCCAATACCTGTTCATCTGAAGGGGTGCTCAGTTTTTATAGTAGATCCTATAGATATCCCAGGGCCATTTTCATTGTTTATGAGTGGTCATGCCTTTGCCCTTGACAGGTGGCTACTGGGCTCTGGGATTGGTTACTGAGCCTCTTGCCTTCCAACAGGTTCTCAGCTCCTCTTCAGCCACAGAACGGTACCCCATGTTCACCCTGGCCGAGGGCCACGCTCAGGACCACAGCCTGGATGACCTCTGCTCCCAGCTTTCCCAGCCAGCCACTCTGCGCCCCCCTCGCACAGGGCGCCTCCTCAAGGCCAAAAGGCCAAGCTCCGAGGACTTTGTGTTTTTATAATGGGATGGGGGGGAAAGATGCAATACTATTTATTTTTTTATTTATGTCATCTTGGATATGGGATCTAGAACTCTGGTGATAGGATCCCCATTCTCACCCCCTCCACAAACCCAGCTGAGACCTGTCTAGGACTCTGCAGGGCTGGGGCTGTTCTAGCAGTGGATGAGCCCCAGGCAGCCTGCCTCCTGCCAACTGGGTCCTCCTCACAGACAGGGAGTGAGGGAGGACTCCTGGGCACTCACTCAGGGCCTGACTCAAGTACTGTAGTTTGCACTGGACCAGCTGTGCCCCTCATGTTCCCAAAGCCCCCTTCTAAGGGAACTTTGGCTGCTGGGGGATAATAAAGCTGCTGAACTTGAACGTGGAAATGGCTGGGCTTAGCATTCATTGCAAGGGGATGTGGGGTCCAAGGTTGTTCAAGGTGAGGTTTCTAAGCCACTTGAGGAAGTTAGTTAAGCCAACCTCAGTTTCATCATCTTTTAAGAGAAGATGATGCACTTGCCTGCAGGTAGACATGAGGTTCCCCAGAGCAGGTGCATAGCACAGGTTGGCAGGAGGGAAGACTTGGCCCAGTCCCTGCCTGCTCCGTGATCTTTAGGGGCAGCTTTTGGGCCCACGCTGTTTCCTTAGTTGCTTGCTCAGCTGGCGGAAGTGCAGCCTTTTGGGGTTGAGGCCAAAGGCCTGAAGTCTCTGACGGCTGAACTCATGGCCACCAAGTGTCACAGTGGGGCCCAATAGCCGTGCCTTCTTATTCCTCTTCCGTCTTTGGGGGGCTGGCTTTTCAGTGGGTGAAACAGACACCTCTTCCTGTGCTGGGGGGCTCTCTGCCTGGGRCTGATTCCTACAGGCCCCATCAGGCACTGGCAGCTGCCCCTGTGGGCTAGCTTTGTCTCTCTGTGGCTTCCTTGTGGATTCTGTGGGCGTCTGCGTCTGTGTCCTATAGGCAAAAAGTCAGGGATCAGGCCAGGCCGGTCATGACCTGCTCCTGAGCACCCCCCCCTCCCCAGCCACAGCCCCATTTTATAGATAAGAAGAAGCATCTACAGAGATTCAGGCCCTGCCTGGGGTTCAAACCTGGGCCTGATGTAAAAGTCAAGTTTTTCTTACTGAACACTAAGGATGGATTATGATGCTGATAATTTTGGTATTTGTGCCTGGGCCTACTTTAAGCTATTCATAGAAATCAACTGAGTTTTAAATCAACTCTGTAGCTGAGTRTGATGGCACATACCTATAACTCCATATACTAGGAAGGCTAAGACAGRAGCATCTCAAGTTCAAGGATAGCCTGGACAATTCAGCAATATGCTCTCTAAATAAAAAGGGMTGGGGATGTGGCTCAGTGGTACAGTGCTTGCCTAACTGTGTGAAACCCTGAGCTCAATTCCCCGTGTTGAAAAAAAAAWTTTTTAAATGAACTATGAGCTCCTACTACCCCTATTTATATACTGGGAAATAATGAGCATCATAAAGTTGTTGATGGACCCTTATTTTACTCATTTATTTATTCGCAGTACTGAAAATCGAACCAGTGCCTCACATGTGAGGCAAGCACTCTACCACTAAGCCATAACCCCAGCCCCAGCATTTTCTAGATTTTTGATGCTGAGAATTAAACCCCCTGAGCTACATCCCTAGCCCTCTATATTTTATTTTAAACACTTATAGATTAACTCAATATTCAACAACCAGATGAAATAAGAACCATAAACTGATGTCCATTTGTGTGTGTGTGTGTGTGTGTGGTGGTGGTGGTGGGGATTGAACTCATGGCTTTGTGCATACAAGGCAAACACTCTACCAACTGAGCTATATCCCCAGCCCAACCGATGTCCATTTTATAGATGAGATGGGTAGTGACTTGCTCAAGATCACCCAGCAGTGGTGCAGGTAAGACTGGAACACAGGTCTCAGATAGGGAAGTCCATTGCCATGATCATGCAATCAGTGGCTGACAAAGTGACACAAACCCAAGTCCCAGGTTACCAACCCAGCCATACTTACTCCTCTGGGCAGAGCGACTTGAAGATCTGCCTCTTTTTCCATGAGTTCTGGGCCTTCTGGCTGTACGCCCGCTTGTCCTGCAGCTCCTCCTGCTCTGACCTGCAGGTACCGGGCAGATATGCCTGTCACCTTGTGCTCTGGGAGGTGTTCATACTTGCGGCCCAACAGYCTGTTACCAGGCACTGGCCCCACCCTGCCCCGTCACCTGTACATGCAGGTCTTCTTCAGAGAACACCACCGATTCAGTTCCTTGTCATCAGCAGCAAGGATCTGTGTGGAAGGGAGGGGGAGACCCTGAGCCTTAGTCACCTCACTGGTGGACGCAGGGTCATGTGAGGACTACCTAGCTGGGACGTCWTGATGGTGGGAGAGCACTGACTTCTGTAGTAGATACTTGAGGTTCTGGTGGATGGTCTCAAATGCAGAAACTGGCTCAGGGAGGGGATTCTTACTCCAGGTCATGGGGCCAGGAAGTTGGCTAGTTTCAGACTCCAGGTTGAACCCAAGAGCCCTGAGCCCTCACGGGACATAGAATGCTGTCCCTGAAGTCTCAAATAAAGGCAGGGCAGGGGTCCCATGCCATCTACCTTTACCAACCAAGATAAAGCCCAGGTTCCCAAGATTGCCTCCCCATTTATGAGGAGGGCATCCCTTCAGAACCCCCTGGAAAGTCACTACCCCCTGGGTAGATTAAAGGAGTGTTTCTGCATGGAATAAGCTCAGTCAACACTGGCCATTTTGACTGATCATAAATCAATAGTCAAACTAGGGCTTGTGGGCATTCACAACCTGTCAGGTGCTATTCAAAGAACCACATATGTTGGATTTCATTTCTGCTTCACAGCCTAAGGTGGGGGCTATTTATTTCCATTTAAAGATGGGAAAACTGAGGTGTGGGTGGTCAAATCATTTATCCAAGTTCACACAACTGCTCAGCTACTTAGCCAGGACTTGAACCTGGGCCATTTGGTTGTATAGACCAAGTCTTTTTGTTGTTTTGAGTGGGAGGGGCTCATTCAAGATCCCAGCAAGTCTTGATGTCCAACCTACTGCTGATACACACTAACAGAATTAAAAGTCATCTAAAAGGACTGGGGCTATAACTTTAGTGGTAAAGTATGTGCTTAGGGGGTCGGATTGTGGCTCAGCGGTAAAGTGCTTGCCAAGCACRTGTGAGGCCCTGGGTTCGATCCTCAGCACCACATAAGGATGAAAATAAACATAATATGTTCAACTATAACTAAAAAATAATAAGTATTTAAAAAAAAAAAAAAAGCACATACTTAGCATGTGTGAGGCCCTGGGTTCCATCCTCACCATCTACCCCCAACTCCTGGCCAAAAGGGCATAATGGATTGTGCCTTGGACACTGTGCCAAGCCCTCTGGCTCTTGGCCTCATGGAGACCCTTTCAGACAGGTAAGGTTATTATTGCCAACATTAGCACTATTGTTATTATATTTGAGATGAAGAAATGGGCCACAGTATTGTGGCATCTTTGGGCCTCGGCCAGCTCTCTGGTCCCTCTTGCATCCTGGGTGCCCTTGCTGTCCCATGCCCACCCAAGGCCCTGACCTCCTCAGTACTGAGCCCAAAGTCACAGGGCACCACAGTGCGGTACTTGAAGCGACAAGGGAGGTCGTCAATGATGTCCTCATAATCCAGCCGGTAATATTCATCTAGATACTCCTCAAAGGTCTTGTCCTCTGCAGGGGAGACAAAGCCAAGTTGCTGGGGTGTTCCAGGCCCTGTGGAGTCCCACCATCACCCAGAGCCCATCGGGCCTCACCAGGGTTGAACACAGGTTTTTCCTGCCCCACAGCTGTGGCAAAGGGTGATTTGCGCTTCTTCTTGCCCGTGGAGGGGATCTCTCGCTTCTTCTTCCGATGCTGGCTGGGGTCGTAGTCAGCATCCATCTGCCAGACACACGAGTTAAGATTCCAGCAGCCCTCTAGGTCCCTGAGACATCCCCCACTGGTGACACCTACATTGAAGTCGGGGTCCTCGCAGTGTGGCTCCTGCTGGCTCCAAKCTCCATCCTCCTCCTGTCCATCCCATGTGTCCCAGTTCCAGTCCTCTGATTCCAGAGAGGACAGAGAGGTGGGGTCAGGGTGGGACCTGGACTGTAGGCCCCACTTCTACCCCAGCCTCCTGTGCAGGTGATGTCACCTTCCAGCCCCTCCTCTTCCTCAAACTGTGGCTTCTCCTCCTCTGCAGTGCCATAGAAGTCATCTCCAAAGCATTTCTGTAGGGTCAGAGCTGGGGGTCAGCAGGGCCTTCTTGCTTCACAGGAAGCCATGATGATGCCAACAATGCCCTTGGCACCTTTACTCCTGCACCCTATGTGGCTCCCAGTGCCCTCCCAAGACCTACCTCCTAAAGCAAGGGACCCTAGGGGTTCAGGACCCTTCACTGACCCCTGCTGGTTACCCTGTCATTCTAGCTACCAGTATGTTCCACAGACCCAGTTCTTTCTAGCTTGCAAGTCTTTGCTCTGTGGCACCCTCTGACTGTCTTGGGCTGGCTAACTGCTACTCGGGCATGAGGAACTTATTTTAGTTGTCTGGTCAGGGGCCTCCTCTAAGATCCCACCATTTCCTGCATGTCCCCATYACTACCCTGATCCCAGTGGGTTATACCCACATAGATATATTCCTGGCATACAGTAGGAGCATAATAAATGTTAGACTGATTTTCACCACCATAGGAAATCAAAGAAGGTGAAATAAAGCCCCTGCTGGAACCCCAGCATCCAATGGAGGTCTAGTGAAAGCAAGTATTGTGAGCTGCATCATTTATTAAGCACCTACTACATGTCCAAACCTGGGGAGCATCCTTCTCTTTTCTTATAACCACCCTGAGAGTAACTACTTCCATCTCAGAAAACAAAGCTCAGGGATGAGAAGCTCCCAGTTTTCAGGCCTTCTTCCCAGCTCCCCAGGCTCAGGCAGGGCCTCACTGGGGCCCCTGCAATGCTCGTGACTTCTCCCATAAAGCCCTCCCCTGAGCCATGTTCCCTCATAATCAGCAATAAACACTAACTGCYCAAAAAATGAGTTGAAAGGAGATCCGGATGGTCCCTGACAATGGTTCAACTTAGGATTTTTCTCTGTAAACTCTAAGACCCTGTCTCTAAATAAAATACAAAATAGGGCTAGAAATACAAAATGTGGCTCAGTAGTCAAGTGCCCAAGTTCAATCCCTGGTACTCAAAAAAAAAAAAAAAAAAAGAAGAAGAATTCACGTGGTACTGAGGACTGGACCCAGTGTCTCACCTGTGCTAGGCAAGCACTCCACCACTGAGCTACTACCCCAGCCCCCAATTAAGCTATAACGTGAATTCTTTCCAATCTATCCTTACAATGGCCCTGGGGTAGATGCTACTGTTAGACCCACCTTCCAATCAGGGAAAGAGGCTCAGAAAGAGAAAGTCACTTTTCTGAGGCCACACGCTAGGAAACAACCTGATTTTGGTCAAGTTCGTGAGGACCTGATGCCATGACTGAAGCGCACCTGCATAAGCTGGTCGTGTCGGGTGGGGTCAAAATCATCCTCAAGGTCCTGCTCCTCAAGGCCCAGTGTCTCGTTGCCAGTCACCTGGCGCAGCTTCTCCAGCTTTGCCAGAATCTCCTTCCTCTTCAGGTTCTTCAGTTGCTTTAGCTCCTCCTGCTTCCTGGCCTTCTCCTATGGGCAGGGGGCAGGCCATGGGCTCTCCTAGTGGGCTGGGCCACCCCCAGCTGGCCTCCCCCACTCACCCTCCTCTTTCGCTCCCTGGTTTCTTCCCGCTTCTCCTTCCTGCGCTCATCCTTGCGGCGCACAGAGGATGCGATGGTACGCGGGTAGGTCTTGACCTGAGGGTAGCAGAAGAGCCAGAGAGATGACCTGCAGCTCTCCAGCCTGGAACCGAGGTCTGGGGCCTCCCTGACCCCGGCCCTGGCCACACACCGAGGCCGAGTCTGGCTCCTCAAAGCGGAAGTTGTATTTGTGCTCAAAGTCTTCCTGCTTCTTCAGGAACAGCTCCCCCTCATCTGAGGAATCCTCTACAGCCAGTTGGACTCGGGGGCTGAGGACCCTGAAGGGCAGGACAGGGCAAGGCTGGGGGAGTCAGCTGAGATAGGTCGGGCCACATGCATGGGCGGGTACCAGAAGAACTACTCATCTAACCCCCCCCTCCCAAGAGCCTACAAGGTGAGTGATTCTATTACCTGTTTTATCTATAGGGAACCTAGGCATGGGGCTCTAGCACAGGGCCAAGATTAAAACCAGTGCCACAGGATTCCAGAGCCCACACTTTGTGGCTCTTTCTCTCCCTTTGTGTGAAAAAAACAAGCACAAGGTGCCTTTCACTCCTGGCCAACACTTCAGGAGATATGGGTGCAGCCCTGGGAGGCATGAGGCTCACCCTTCCCCCTCCTCTTCCTCCTCCTCTTCCTCTTCCTCCTCCTCTTCCTCTTCCTCATAGCGTTTGTTGAGAATATAATCCCGCAGGAATTGCTCCCCTTCGTCCAGCTCTGGGTCATTCCAATATTCTTTGAGGTGTGTCTGGAAGGGAGTGGTAGGGGTGACAGAACCCAGGGACAGGGAAGGGGAGTGGGCATGGGCGCCAAATGGATTTAGGAAAATGAAACATCATAGCCAGCCTAGAGTGGGTGGGTTTACCCCATTTTCTAGACATAGAAACTGAGGTCTACAGATGGGTGCACCTCATCTCAAGAGTATATGACCTTGTGTTGCTTTTTGGTTTTTTGGTGCTGAGATGGAACCTACTACTATTTTCTGGAGGAAGGTTGGATGCAGGTGGAACAAGCAGTTTGGGCCACCAGGGACAATGTGTGAGATCTCACCAGTTCCTTCAGGGACTCAGGATTCGGAATCTCCTTCTGTCCCTTCAGCCACTCAACGTAGTCAGCCTCTTCCTGGGCCTGAGAAAGGCCAGTGCTGAAGGACTGTGGGAGCCCCAGCTGCCTGCCCCCTCAGCAGTTCAACTGGGTCCCAGCACCTACCTTCTCTTCCCTGGTTTTTGCATGTTTCTGCAGCAACCCAGAGCCACCTTCCCCAGCACTGTCCTCATCCTCGCTGTCCTCCATGAACACCCGGAAGCTGCAGACAGCAGCAAACAAAACTCAGGACAGGCAGATTGGCCCCTGCACGAGGCCCCAAGATTAACCCTGCTTACCAAACCCACAGCTTGTTCTCCAAAAGCTCAGAGCAGTGCTGTGACATTAACCCATGTAACAGATGAGGCACACAGATAGCAAATGTCAGGGCTTGCTTTAATCCCAGGCCTCCCCAATCCGCAGCCTACACATCTGGACACGGCTCACCTTTCCTTGAGCTGCTTCTGTTCTTCCACATAACTCTGCGACGAGATTTGCTGCAGAGGAGAGACTGATATGGGCCTTAGGCCAGTGCTGGCCCCTCAGCCTGTCCCAGCTTCCTCCAATCTACATACCTTGGCTGTCTGATTGCAGGTCTCCCCATCTGAGTTCTCCTCATCAACATACTTGCTGTGCAGGCAAAGATGGGGGCTTTAGAATAAAGTCCCTGACTCTTGACACCTCAACTTATGATGGTTTGATTTTACAAATAGACTTCTCAGTATTAAATGCAAACAAGTTTTAAATTTATTTTTTAATATTTTAAATTTACAACAGGTTTGTCAGAGTGAAACCCTATCTGTACATGCTCCATGGCCTGCCTATCCCCACAAGGGGGGAAGTTATCTTCACCAGGAAGTTATTTTCTGAAGGATCTCAGAGGCTCCCTCTAGTCTCTGGAGTTTGGGGCTTTTTCCACTTCTACCTGTAAGACTCCCAAAATCCCAGGAAGGTTGGGATCTGAGGGTTAGGGACCCTTCTTACCCTTCCTTCTCCAAGATGACCTTCCTCTCATAGTCTTTCAAATACATGGGCTGCACCTTCTTCTGCTTCTCTGAGGCTGCTGGTTCCTCCTCACTCTCCGAGGATGAGGATGATGCTGTGGGGCAGCCAGATACTTGCCATCACCATTACCCATGACCCTGTTCCCCTAGCAGCGAATCCCACAGAGCAGGGCCGGGGCAGAGAGAGGTTTGCAACCCACCACTTCTCTGCTATAAAACAAGCATCACACTCGSACTACTGGGTGGGGCTGGGATCATTCAGTTAGCAACTCACACTTTGACATGCCACCAGTCCCTGACATAGGATGGTTCAACTTATGATTTTTTTTAACTTTATGATGGCTTATTAAATTATTTTTTATCATACATATATTTTTTTCCAATACTGAGAACTAAACTCAGGGGTGCCTTACCACTAAACTACACCCCCAGCCCCTAATTATTTTTTTCCCTCCAGTACTAGGGATAAAAGCCAAGGGTGTTTCACCCCTGAGTTATATTTCTAGCCCTTTTGAGACAGGTTCTCACTAAATTGCCCAGACTGGCCTYGAACTTGTGATATTTTTGCCACAGCCTCCAGAGTCACTGGAATTACAGGTATAAGATACTGTGCCCAGCAGTGACATGTGGGTTTATAGGGATTTAACCCCATTGTAGATTAAGAGCATTTATAGTGGTTATTACCACCCCACAGGTAATAATCCAAGATACTCTCCTAAGCTCTTTTGATGTAAAATATTCTTTCAGTAGTTACAAGAACCAGTAGGGCACAGAGGAAACTGCATCCCCACACACACACCTGTTCTCTGATAGAAGGTGACATCTTTCTGATAAATGCGGGGATCCTTCTTCTTCAACAAAGAAAGGGTCCTGTAAAAGTCACGCTCCTGCTGGGGGTCAAATTCCTAGGGCAGGAAAAGGGTAGGCAGTCATCAGAAGGGAACAGCTCTGGAGGAAACCAGTGATGGGGACAGTATGCAGCAGGGGCAGGTGGACCAGAGAGTATGGGGGAGAGGGGTATGTGGTACAGGAAAGGGCAGAGGATCCAGCTGGGGAGAGGTAGGTGGGCAGCCGGGTGTGACTAGGGGTCAGAGGAGGGAGGGACCAACTTGGGGACTGGTAGGGAGCCCTCCACAGACAGTACGGGATATGGGCAAAGGAAGGTAGGACAAAAGGAGGTAGTTCCTGAGAAAGAAAAGGGATCTATAAAGGAGCAGGTGGGCTGAGGACACTTGGGGAACAGCAGGGAGGGGCCAGGTTGCACAATGGAGCCAGGAAGAATACAAAGCTGATATGGGAAGAAGTTGGGCGCCCCACGTGGCGCATAATAGTACACTGAGAAATGGTTAGGCCCTTAGGAATGAGAGAAGGGGAAGAGAGGCTGAGGGGTCTCACCACCCATCAAAGGAGAGAGAAAGAGAGGGGGCTTGGCGACACTTGGAGATAGAGAAGGTGCAGTATGGTCCTCAAGGGTTTGGGGGCGGAGCTTGGACTATACTGTAGGGCACTGAGGGACTTGGGGACAAGGCGCCCCCTGTAATCGGGGTCAGAGTGCGRTAGGAGGCTTGGACGCTTGGGTGAGTCCGGAACAGGGGTGGGGAAGCGCACCACGCGCTCCTCGCTGGAGTCAGACTCGGAGCTGGAGTCATCGCCGCTGTCTAGGTCCCCGTAGCGATCCTTCACTGTGAGGCACAGACAGGATCAGCCTTGGAGACCAGATCAAACCCCCAACTTCCCGAAGACCCTTCCAGGGCTGGCGCCCCGCGCGCACGCGCCCCGCACTCACGGCGCTGCAGCTCCTCGCGCTCCCGGTAGCGGCCGTACCGCGCGGCAAAGGCAGCGTTCACCCGCAAGGGTGACGACCCGCGCGGTTCGGGCATGGCGGCGCTCGAGGCCACTGCGCATGTGTCGCAGATAGCCCCCTAAAGGGGCGTGGTCACGTTCTGTCACGCCCGCCTTGAACTTTAAAAGAGGCGGGGCCGCGCGTGTGGGCCTAACCCCGCCCCCAGCCCTTCCGGGATCCCTTTTGCCTTGTGACCGCCGTCCCGCCCATGGGTCACGCCCCTGCGGGGAAGGCCGCAGCCACCGCCCACCTCCCCACCCTTCTGGCTCAGGGCAGCCAGCTGACATCTGGGGGCCCTTTCTCCACTCGCGGTTTCCTGCCTCCCTTCCGTTCCGACAGCGCCAACCGCTGCCCCGCCCAGCTCGCTCACCCTAGCGCTCTGGGAGTGACCAGGCTCTCCCCTCCCCCACAGCTTCCGCGACCCCCGACCCCGAAGCTCATCCCCATCGACATTCTGGTCGCGTGAGTCTTCATCTCAACCTCACAAATCAGAAGCCACCCAAGCCGTGATCATGCACAAGTTTTAATTTAATGGGTAGAAACATTAAATTATCACACACAATTTTTTCCATAAAGCTTAATAAATAGAATCTCTTTTTTAAACGCTGTACAAGAGACTGGAAAACAAGCTTCCAACAAAATATTTACTCATACTACCCTTTTATTGATTTGAAACACTTCCCTCCCTGCCCCCCATGCCCAAGACAGAGCTCACACTTCAGGGATCTCTCTGAGCACAGCCGACCAAAGTCACCAGGTTCCTGGAGCCTTGGAGGTGATGACTCACTCTGGGGCTGGGGCTTTAAGCGCTTTGAGCTTGGGTCTAGTCTGCAGCCCCAGCAGCCCGGGGTGCAGACAAAATGAACCGTTTTGGTGGCTGTTACCTATAGGAGCCCTTCTCTGTCCAACACACCAAAAGGGGTGAGAAAAACAAATGAGAAATGTCCCCCAAACACACACTCCCCAAAAAATCAACACCAATAAGCCACAAACTGGTCCTCCTCCCCCTTCTGTAAAGAGCAAGAGGAGTGAGGAGAGAAAGTGTTTCTTCCCTCCTCTTTTGACAGAACCTAGTGGGTTCTCTTGCTGGGTAGAGTGGCCCTGGCTCACAGTGGGATCACTGTGCACCCCTGCAGGATGTCCATGATGTCCTGAGACCCTCTCTGTCGTGCCAGCTCCAAGGGTGTAAGCCCCCTGGCATCCTTGTGTTGAAGATCAGACTCAGGAGCCAGGAAGCTGACCACAGCACTGTGGCYCTCCTGCACAGCTARATGRATGGGGAGYKCCCCAGTGCCATCAGGCGCGTTGACATCAGCACCATGCTCCACGAGGACTTTCAGGGTGTCCAGGAATCCAGTGCGAGCTGCATCGTGGACTGGACTGGTACCGGAGGCATCCTGAACATTGGGGCTAGCACCTTGCTTCAGAAGTTCCAGAGYGATGGCGGGACTGCCAAACATCATGACCTATGTTTCGACAGAGGGTCAGGAAGTCCCCAAGGAAGGGTCACTGGAGAGAAAATGGTCATCCAAAAAGAGATGCAAGAGGAGAGGTCCTCTAGAGAATGGGGACACTCCAGGAAACACCAGTCCCCAGGGATAGTGAGACCCAAGAGAACAAGTTCTGGGATCCTCAAGAAGCTGATCATTCCCGTAATAATAGAGCGAGAGAGACCCTAACAAAAAGTATAACCTCCAGGAGAACTTTCAAGGAACCCAAGAATGTTCCCTACCCCAAGGAAACAGAGCCCCCCCCACATATGGGAAATCATCAGGAAATCTAAAGCCCCCTCCAGGAAATGAGYCCCTGGAGACTGAGAACTGCCCCCAAATAACTTGGCAGGTGTCTCAAGGGAAAGGAAATGCCCAGAGAATTTGAAAATACTTTTTCCAGGAAAAAGCCCCATCTTTTATAAGGGAATCTTCCTGGGGATACCTGATGTCCCTCAAGAAGTGGGGCGTTTCCCCTGTAAAATGTTCCCAGGGAATAGAGACCTCATACAATATGACACAGTTCTATTGGGGCCCCCCATAAGATGCCAAGAATCCATACAATCCTCAGAAATAAAGACTCCCCTCAAATAACTAGATAACTTTTAGAGGACTACCTAGAAAAAGGGGTCCCTCCTTCTCAGGGAGACAAGAACTCATCTTTTCCAGAGACTGGCTCTCTGCATGGAAGCCCCAAGAAACTTAAGCTATCTCATGAAGCTGGGATCCAAAGAAGCTGAAACCCACCCGCTGAATAAGAACCTCCCAAAGGAAAACGAATTCTTCCCGCACGCAGAAAACAAGGAATCCTCAAGGAAAGATGAAAAGCCCTCCCAACCCCCCACCTTCACTCCCCCATAACCCACCTAAAAAAGGGACCTTGAGGTACAATATCAGCCTAGAGAAGACTGGAGCCCAGGGGGTCATCAAGGAAGGGAACCCTCGCTGGGTTCCACTGCCCCGCCTTTGTCCCTGGCCAGCCGGGCCTCACCTGCAGAGCCGTTTTGCCAAAGCGATTCAGGGCGTCGGGGTGCACCAGCTCGCGGTACAGAAGGCGGCGCACCTCCTGCACGTCGCCCCGGGCTGCKGCCCCACTCAGTCTGTCGCCAACGCGGACCTCCTCAAGCAACATGTCGATACTGGTGGCCTGCGAAGCCCCCCGCCACACCCCAGCCCGGTTAGTGCCGGGGAGCCAGCCGTTGCTGGCCCAAACAGCCCTCTCGGGGTTCGGCCCCGGTGCGTCCGGCCTACGCTAGACTCCTGGCCTGGCTCGCTGGCGCAAGGCTCCCGCAAGACCCCCGCCCTCGCAGCCGGCTTCTCCCCTGTCAACCGGGCGGGCGGAGAGGGGCTGGGAACTCGGCCCAACCCTCCGCCGCCGGTAGGGCACTGCCAGGCGCCCGCCCCTTAGGGGCAGGGTCTCCCCGCAACTCACCCTCCCTCCTCCACGACGGGCGGGGTCTGTTCTGAGCCTGCGCTGCCGCCRCTGCGGCAAAATCAGACGCCAGGGGGCGGAGTCAGCGCACTCGAGGCCCCACCCCCGAACACCGCCAATTTGTTTTCTTACAAACTCGCTACACAGTAGCGGAGCCTCCTTGCCAAACCTCAACCTGATGGAGCTCCGCCCACATGCTCCTGGCAGCCAATGACAGAGCGTCGCCGGGGAGGTTCCGCGCGCCGGCGTGGGAGGTATCGTTCCTGATTGGCCAGGAAGCGGCGAACGGTGGGCCGCCCGCAATGGCGGGGTTTTCGGTTTTCAAACCCGCCAGGCGGGCGGGAAAGAGAGCCGGTTTAACTGCCCCAGGGAGAAAGGTCAGGAAGAGTGTAGCGTGGACTTCTCTGGGACTTCGGTGCCCCCCAGAGGGAAGGGAGGCAAGGCTGGAGCCTCTCGGTCCGGCCTCCTAGCATCCATTCATCTAAGAAGCGTTTATTAGCCCTTAATATGCGCTAAGCACTTTCATTCATTCCTCCACCGCATGCAAGAACCGTTCTGGACACTTGGGATCGCACATTCAAGGAACTTTTAGCGTCAGAAACCACGAAAAAACACAAAAGGGGAAATGGGTTGCGTGAGAACGAAATCATATTCTGGCTCAGGGTGAGCTAGTGAGAAAAGCTGACCCTACAGCTGCCACGTGGGCGAGCCTCCCAGGAGAGTGGCAGAAGGTGGCCACAGAGGTCTTTATACAAATCTTTACAGAGCACCTCTTGGAGGCGCCCAACTGARAGCTAGCCAGGCTGCTCCTGCTGCAGGAGGAGTAATTAAATCTCTTCACAGTGGTAAAGGCTCTGGAACTGATAAAACAGGTCAAGGTCACAGGAATAACCTCCCTAAAGAGGTGGCATTTGATTGAAAACCTGGGGGTGAGGAAGGGGGCCACATGGCTCCGTGGTGTAAGGCACAAAGGCCCTGAGGTGTGTGTGCTTGCTATGACTTAGAAAGTAAGAGTGGGATGAGGTCAGGGAGGGTGGGTGGGAAATAGGGTGGGGTTGTGCAGATGGGGCCTGTGGGCTGCATTGGCTTTTACTTTGAACAACACTGGAACCACAGGAAGGGTCTAGGTAGAGAAACCTTGATGTGACTAAGAAATCAACAATCACGGGTTAGGCATGGTGGCACAAGCCTGCGGCTTAGGAGGCTGAGGCATGAGTATCACAAGTTCAAAACCAGCCTCAGCAATATAGTGGTTAGGCACCCCTGGGTTCAATACCTGGAACCCCCCAAAAAGAAAGAAGTTAACAGCCACCTCTCTGCCTGCTACTGGGGAAAACCAGACTGTGGTGAGGAAGTTCAGGCAAGAGCAGGTCACCAGGGTGATTACTGCCCTAGCCTAGGCGAGTGATGACCAGGGCTAAGAAATGGACATGTGTCAAATGGACACTCCCAATCAGCATTTCAGGGACATAACTGACATCCCCAGTCCCCAGCCAAGAAGCATGTACTCAGCAAGGAGATTCATCATTTTAATGACATCCTAAAGCTCAGAGTAACAGGCTTGAGGAGCCTCTGGGCTCAGCAGCTGTGAAGAAGGAGGGGTCCCCAGTACACTCTAAGGCAGGACACTGCAAGAAGGCACTCATGAGGGGGGGATTCGAGCCCCTATGATATTTCTTCATATAAAATCATGGTGGGGGGGCCCCCAAGAGTAAGGAAGGCAAAGAGACCATCCCCTCCCAGCCCATTAGTAGAAGATACAAGGAGGGGGTTGGGTGCTGGGAGCAGGAAACTTGCTAAGTCAGTGGCCTGCCCACACACACACAACCACACACACACAGCCACACATTTCCAGCTCCTCTCTAAAATATGCAGAGGGGCCTTGAGGAGAGGGATCCCTCATGTTCAAACCCCCACTTCTTCTCCCATCTAGCTGGTACGAAGTTGATAATCTGCAGAAAAACAATGAGCAGGGGCCCTATAAGAACTGAGGAAAAGAGGAACAGGAACAATCCCCTAAAATCCATCCCCTGCCCCAGCATTCATAATCGTTCTMGAGAGTATTTAACAAAGCTTAGGATGGAGTTAAACCACGTAACCTTGACAACAATCTGGTTTCCAGGCAGCAGATGGAAGTACTAAGAATTCAGTCCCTTATCCTAACCTTACCCAACCTGGACCTGGACACTGACTCCATTTTATAGATGTACAGAGGTTCACTGTGGCTTGTGAACAGGCAGGGCTGGCTGTTGAATTTTAGCATTGTTTAAGCCCTGAGATCCCACTCCCCTCCATCTCCCTGAYCCCATCATCCCAGGAACCAGGCTGCCTTACCGCCACTCTGGGTGATATAACGAACCCAGGGCAGGGCCTGGTAACCGCTTTTCTCAATGATCTTCATGTAACGGACCTGAAAGGGAACAAAATGAGGTGGCCCAGGCTTGTAGGAGTGAGATGCCATGGGTCAGAAGGGAACGATGGTTTGGGCCAAGGGAATATATGACACAGGGTAATAAGGAAGTGGCATGGCATGAACAGAGAGAAGGTGGTCCAGGACAGAAAGGAAAGAGGTGGGCTGGCATGGTGGCTCACACCTGTAATCCCAGGTGACTTGAGACAAGGCACAGGAGAAACAGGGAACCCACTGAAGGCACAGAGAGGCACTTCCCTACCCGCTTCCCTTACCTGGATGCCAGAGACGGTGAAGTAGGGAATCTCAAACTTGACCCCAATGGGGGGCCGGCCATCTACCTCTTCCTTTTCCACGCTGGGGAGGCCAAAGTGGGCTCGCATCAGGTACTCCTTGCCCCCCTGAGAATACATGGGGACATCAGCTGCACAAGGGCCCCCTATCCATTCCAGACCATCTTCACAACAGTCCATGTAGCAATCTCTGCATGCAGCCCATTATWCAGGGATGAGATGGCGCATGCCTGTAATCCAAGTGACTCAGGAGGGTGAGGCAGGAGGATCACAAGTTCAAGGCCATCCTTAGCAATTTAGCAAAACTCTCAAAATAAAATATAAAAAGGGCTGGGATGTGGCTCGGTAGTGAAGCACCCCTGGGTTTCATCTCCAGCACCACAAAAAGGAAGGAAAGGCACCTGCTTAGACTCATGGAAGACTCTTAACTGTAAAACCCAGAGGTGCGGGGATTGAATTACCATCTCCTGTCTTCTCAGGCCTGAGGACAACCCCCATACCCAGATGACATGAACAGACCAAATCCTTCAGTGGCTGAGGACAATGGTACCCCAGTAGTCCCCCCTCACAGGAGGGTGAGTCGGAAGACCACTTGAGCCCAGGAGTTTGAGGCCAGTCTAGGCAATATAGCAGGATGCCGTCTCAAAAAAAAAAAAAAAAAAAAAAAAAAATCTTCCAGTGACCCAAGGATGTAGCTAAATCATCAGTCAGCTTATTTGATAGATAGCAAACTGAGTCCCTGAGGGGCAGCAGATTTTCCAAACTCACCAGACTCAGAAAGTCCAGGGTGAGAAATCTGAATCCAGGGCTGGTTTCCAGAGAACTTGGGGTGGGATGTGGCATTTAAACCCACTTTCCATCATGAAGATTGGTCTGAGTTCTACCCTTTATCCCTCCCAAAGGATAAGCACATGTACACATACATATGTGGGTGCCTGATCCGTTCCCCACCTCATCCCCCCACCATGCCAGTCCCCTCTTTCCCTCACATGTCCTGCCTGTCGCCAGTACTCACTGGGAAGGACTTGATACTCCAAATAACGACATTCTTTTCTGGCACATACTTGGCACTGCCCACGCTGGTCTTGAAGCGTGGAGAGTCAGCATCACTGGGTACAGGGACAGATATCTCCACGCCGTTTGCCACTGACTGCTTCTTAAACTGGCCCTTGGCCTGTCCAGGGAGAGAGCATGAGCATGAAGAATTCAATGATCTATTCTGCCAACATCCACCAAGYCCCTGCTTTTCAGCAATGAAAATGAACCCAGGGCCTCCCCTGCATGCTGGGCAAGTGTTCTGTCACTGAGCTACATCCCCTGGGACGACAACTTTAAAGGGGGCAGATGGTCAGGGAAAGCTTCTGGGAGGTGACATTTAAGCAAAGAACCAAAGGAGATGGAAGGTGGCACGTGGGTATCTGGGTGGTGGTAGCAGGGTGATCGAGGGAAAGGGAACAGCTAGTGCAAAGCCCCTTGGTAGCATTTTGCTGGGTGTGCTTCAGAAACAGTGAGAAGGCTGRTGTGGCTCGAGGGAGTGAATGAACGAAGGGGACAGTGAGAGGAAGTGCAGGCAAGGACTTAACAGAGCAAACTGGGCGGGGGACTCTACCACCTTGGGTTCCTGGCTTTTATGCCAGGTCAGATGGGAGCCATGGAGGTTCTGAGCAGTAGCTCCTGACTGGCTTAGGTGTTCAGGCATCATCTGGAGAATAGAACATAGGGGCCAAGAGGGGAAGCCAGGGGACCAGGAATACCCAAGTCCAAGTAAATATGACAGAGCTGGGTCAGGACAGAGGAGGACAGGGGAGTTAGGATC